GCTGTCCTCACCGAGAGCAAAGGCACGATTCCCGGCAACCCCACTAAATTCCTCGTACGGACAAACCATTTCTCTCTGGATTACAATCAGTCCAGTCTTCAGGTCAGACACGCGGCGGGGGCTTGCACGACTGCCCGACTGATCTCGTCGCTACACTACAGCGCCTTTTGCTAGTTTCCTTAAAAGCGGTCTCGCTGAACCCTTTCGCCCAGCGAAAACGAGGCCTGGCCTCCCCTTGACGCAGCGGGAAGTGCAGAACCTCGCTCCAGGGCGCAGCAGCTGTGCCCCCTCGGCGATTCGAACCTGGAGCCCTTGGGTGGAGAGTCCAGGACTCTGACCGCTGCTCCCAACTCCTCCCGCGCCCGAAATCCGAACGGAACTTCACTACCCGACGGCCCGCAGCCCTCCCAGGATGGAGGCTCTGGGGCCCTGTTCCCCAGTGACACGTCTCCCCCGCCGAGGAGACGCTCTGTGGGGGGGGGGCAGCCTGCCCGCCGGAGCCCGGGAGGAGCCAGCCGAGAAGCGCGAGGCCGCAGGGTCTGCGCGGCTGTGACTCACCTGCTGAGCTTGGGACTGCTGCAGCCGCATCTCCTGCAGCTGCTGCAGCTGCTGCTGCTGCTCCGGCGTCTGCTGCTGCTGCTGCTCCGACTGCTCCATCTCCTGCGCCGGCGCCTGCTGCAGCTGCTCCGACTGCTCCATCTCCTGCGCCGGCGCCTGCTGCAGCTGCTCCGACTGCTCCATCTCCTGCTCCGGCGCATTCTGCAGCTGCCGCGAGTGCTGCAGCTCCTGCAGCTGCTGCAGCTGCTGCTGCAGGAGATGCGGCTGCCGCGCCCGCGGTGTCCGCTGCAGAGGGCGCCCCTGCGTCTCCCGTGGCCAGAGAGTCTCGGCAGGCAGCAGCATTTCCTCTTCCTCCTCCAGCTCCTCCTTGATGGTCACCTGGATGGCGTCCTCCGGCAGGCCGGGCGACGGGGGGGCGCGGGGGGGGCCGAACGAGCCCCAGGGGGACCCCGAGCACGCCGACACCCCCAGCTCCAGGGGCTCCTCCTTCACCCGGACGCGGAGCAGCGTGTCCGCGACGTCGCCCGCCCGCTTGCCCTGCTCCAGCTGGGACCTCAGCGTCTCCACCAGCCTCTGCTTCTGCCTCAGCATCCGCGTCAGCTCCTCGATCTGCTTGTCCTTCTCCTGCAGCATCTGGTCCTTGTCCAGCGGCCCCGGGGCAGGCTGGGAGAAGCGGCAGGGGGCCGCCCCGGAGACGTTCTCCTCCTTGACCTGGAACAGCGCCTGCGGGGGGGAGGGGTGGAGGCTGAGCTGGGTGAGGGGGGAGCTGACCTGGAGGGGGATGGGGAGGGGGGGGGGGGGGGGGAGGACATGAGAG